CAAACAATAAGTTGATCTGCATGCACCCCAACCCACCCCCAACCCCCATTATCCCAATCTCTATCAGTCAAATCGAGTGTAGTCGGTTGTGAATGCATGCAATCGGTTGTGAAACACACTGTTCTGATCGAATTCTGGCATTCGCGTTCGAAACTACCCAAGAAATCGGTTTGCCAGTACTCGTTTTCTGTTTTGTGATAAAGTGAATATTGCAGCCGACTGTTTACTTTATTTTGTATTGCTCTCTCTCTCTCACACACACACACACGCTTGTCTGATGAACACCTCAGATGGGTCAGATCTAATAGTCACGAGGACCTGCTGTTCAAGGATGAAAACCGGCAAATTAAGCTCCCGGTGGCCGGTGGACATGTGCTCAAATCCCATCACAATCGCCTGACTTGCTCATTTTGTGTTGTATGGCACATTGGCAGACCGCTTCCCCGGCTGCCTGAAAAAGAACAAGACTTGGAGTGGTGAATCGCATAAGGCCCCGATAAGTTAGGTGTGGTTGCGTTGAACCCGCATAACAACAAGGCTGCTCATCACCAAAGTTCGCCCATGGTGGCGGGGTTCGAACCTTCAACCACGGGAGTCCACAGCATCGCGGTGACATGGACTTAACCACCGATTGAGATCAGTAACTGCAAAATGTGAGGATCATATCATATGATTGCATCAACACATTGGACAATATCAGATTGTGAACTATCTGTCGCATGCCTTACTCCCGAGAAACCATCTATAGTCAGTATATCAGTATGATATTCAAAAGTATTTCCGTATTTGAGGCTTACTACTCTATGCACTACTACTACTACACTAACAGTGATATCTTATGTGGATAGAAATGTGATTCCCCAAAACATACGAACGGTAACACTAAATTTATTGCTGGCGGGCGATCGTAGGTCGGGGGAGGGGGGCTGATTTAGTGCTGGCATGTGTCTAGGGTCTTTCGGGGCAACTGGAACATAGAGTTTCATAAGGGATTTCAACAAGGGTAGCACCAATATTTCCATGGAATAAATACTACGAAATAAGTGTCTAGCGCAAGTGCATTTCTTAGTCACCAAAGTATCTCTCCTTGTCGATTAAATATTTACCAACCAGCTTGGATCGATTTGCTTTTCTTCGATGCGTGGTTTACTCGGACATAGTTGATCGGATCGAATTTAATCACGTGACTAGGTTGCTAACTCGAACTACAACCCTCGAGAACGGAGCTGTGAGTGTTTGATAGGCTGACTCTACCCTAAGATAGGATCACACACGGGTCGACTGTACGCTGAAATCATGTATGCAGTCAGTTTGAAAGGTAAGTTCACTAGAAAATGGTGAACAAGTCTACACCGGGTCATTTCGGTTCGGTCCGGGTTGGTGTCAGGTTGGCAATACTTGGGAAGGGAGGGGAGGTCTGGCACAAACATACGACCAAATGAGATTTCTCGAGTCGGCACCCATCGGATCCATGCAGTGTTATTCATTGTTCCTATTTCATCAACAGTAATAATGATCAGACGGTCATCAACTTCATGCTGTTTGATTTGTCAAAATTGACCTATTAGGTCTGTGAAATCCGAGTTGAACAACTAAACATGAGGGATTGTGAACTCGAAGTTCAACCCAGCTGCTGGACAGTCAATCGCCTAAGATATGGTACCTCAAATGTATCGGTCTAAGTAAAACGGGAATTTGAGCAAACTGTGTCACTGTGAACAAACCAGACCGCCGGTCACTACCCAATCCTTGACGGTGGTGTCTGTTGTTATCAGGTGCCGCGCACTGATATCCTGTTTCGGGTTAGTTTTTAAATATGCAAAATGTCAGTACCGATTACAAGTATCCTCTGTACGACGGAGAACTGAGAACAATTCAGTTCAATAACCGAGCAATTTTTCCCGTCAGTCACCACAGAATGTGTGATAAAACAAAGCAGGCGAATAGTGCGGTTTTCCACCTTTGATTTTATCATGGGGCCGAATTACTACCGGGCCGGATCACTTAAAAGTTTGATTTTACTAATTTCAGTGAACGATGCTAACGTAATTCCAGTGTGTGAAAGTATTTCTAAGATCTAATTCCCGCATGACACGCAATCGAGGTGAAACCACTCTTAAAAAACGGACAGTTTTCAAATGTGATAGAAATGTTTGTGATGACTGACAAAGAGCACCGGGATAGCTGTTTCGTCTTGGTTGGGACTCGTCAGTAGTGCGCGTACTTTTTGTGTCCTTGTCAGGACTCGAACCGCAAACTTTCGGGTTGGGACGATGAACGGTTATCACTTTGAGCGAATGGCTAGATCAATTTAGAATATCAAGCTTGGATTAGCCCATTCGATTGTTCGCGATTCAAGTTCGGACAGGGACACAAAAAGTACGCATTGCTGACAAGTCCCAAAACAGGACAAAACAACTGTCTCGGTGGTCTTTGTCGGTCATCACAAACATTTTCATCGCATTTGAATGCAATTACCTCGTGGGGAGTGAAACCCACACCGAAGACCATAAAGATTGGCTGGTGCTTCTGAACAATTGAATGGGCTAATCCAATCTTGATACTCTAAACGGACAGTTTTGTTCAACAGGAACACTGGATGAGAAATAAATTGATTTTTTTTATGTCAATCAAAGGGAGGTGGGGGGNGGGGGGGGGGGCAGGGAGAAGAGAAAACTATACTCACTCCACGCATTATTGATGCAATGGATGGTTTTTTTTTTAGGTCCGATTGGCCCTTACCCTCAACTGGGTTGAAGCTTTCCTTGTTCCTCAGAGGTTAACATGAGCCGAGAGGTTCTTTGTTGTGCGGTGACAATTAATTTTCCAATACATCATCACGTCCAAAGATCATGAGTTAGAGAGTGTGATTAGCTATGTGCTGATCAAAATGATTTATTGTCATTCATGTCATTGTAACATTTGAGCTTTAACGAGTTTTCATATTGATCACGGTAGTGCTGGTGGTGGTTATGACAGTGTCTACAAACTGATATTTGAGTAAGAGTAGAGCTAGCCTATTAAGTTGATAATTCATAAATACTGTCACTCAAACTATGTGGTGACTGTTCCAATCAAGGAACATGCAAAATAATGAATTGAATCAAGGTTACGTAACAAGTCAATCGTTCTGCTCATACTAGAAGCATTTCACAACTGGTGTTGCCATGAGCCGAATTGGTGCTGGCTCAATCAGCTGTTCATTATCAGCAGCAGAGGCAGCGTTATGTGTTGGAGTTGTGATGGCATCAGAAGGCCCAAGCTACAGACAAAGTGTCCAGAATGGTACAAACGACAGATACACGCACACACAGACAGACAGACGGACTGCGGAGCTGTCCAGACACCTCAAAGATTTGTGTATTAGTTGTCAAGGTCACTGACTGGGTCGAGCATTCAGTAACAAAGTCCGGGCACAATACGGAATGTATCACCAGAGATAAATTGCGCGCGCGCGCGTGTGTGACAGTTCTCAGGCCTCAGTCTGATTTATTCGTATCAAACGCGATGATGGAATGAAGACTGTTGACTTGAATAAAAATGCTATCGTTTTCTGTGTATTGAGTACCATCTGTTAACTGGCAGTAATATTTACCGACCATAGTAGGTAGGTGGACAACTGTTTGATGAGACTCTGACCGACTCCATCTCGTTCATTTTTGAATACTTTTTGATATTTCCCGATATCAGAGAAAGATGTGACGCCGTATATCTAGAAAATCTTCTTACCGCGAAGATGGCATCTTGTGGAGCTTTTGAAGATCGGGACCTTGGCTTACCGACCCTTGAACACCATTCCCCTGTAAATACCGAGTCGCGTTTTGCCATGCACCACAATCAAACCACTGATTGATTTGTACTTAAGAGGGTGGGAGAATGCTGGTTCCCGGACAAGATGGTATTTCATCAATTGAACAACAAACTCCTTTAATGTAACGGCTCTTTGTAATACTGTGCTAAATACCATCCACGTTGTAACAAAGGATCTTCTATTGAGACAACTATAGACAACTAGCATCACAAAGGGTGGTAGCGTAATCAGGCTACCTATTGAGTATCGTTCAAAGCGAACATTGACATCCCAATTACGATTTCCCTCTATCCGGTTTTCTTTTGTATTATCCACGGTACTTTTGATTTGTTGATACCATCTCAACACCCTCTCACACACACACCCCGAAAAAATCAGTGTCAATAATGGTAAAAAGTTAAACAATACGAGCTTAATACCACACTGCACTAAAATCACTGTTTGTCTAATATTAAATCTACCTTTTTGACAAATAACGATATCCCAGCCATTTTTTTCATGAATAGGGGAAAAAACTATCGTTTAATTAAAACAAAATCATTTTTCAACCAAAATTTAATGTACCAGTTCTACTTGAAATTGTAAGAAACCGTCAAATCACAANCACAAATTGAAAGTGACACTCGCAATTGGACGAATTTACACTACTGCTCAACTTTCTTCATGCCAGTTTCATTTGACGGATAGTTTATCCCAGTTATTGATTAAATCAATTTGATAGATCCCTTCACCTCTTCCCCACCCACTCCCTCGTCGTGTTCATTGTCTTTTCTTCGTCTTCTTATTCACATGATTATTTTACTTTGCATCTTTCATGTAACATGGATTATTGATTATTTGTCACCAGCAGCTACCAACTCTCGACTCGTCATCGTGTGCAAATTCGACTCTCTTATCCAGCCTGGGATTTGTGAAAATTGTGCACTCTTTGTACACTGTCGAAAATCCCCGAATTCGGTCACTAGTGCTCATTCGACTCGGAGTGCCCGATTGGATTATGGGTCCACCAGTGCTTAATAGGCCTCGGCCGATATCAAGGAGACAGCGGAGCTGTTTACGTGTCCGTATGAATACGGAGATCAATCTGTATGTTGTACTGCTCATAGACCTTATACAGATAAGTTGAGACTGTTCGAAGATAAAAATACAGGCAGATGAGACACGGAATTTAGGCTAACCAATGATCCTCGGTTGTTGGAACACTCGAAGGAAACGGGACCTGGAATTGTGATTTTTTTCGGGGTGTGTGGAGAGATTGTGCTTGTTGGGTGGTGTAAGGTACACACACAAAAAAAAGAGCGAGAACTCCCAAACATTTGGAGACTTTTGATTGAAAATTTAGTAATTTATTTCAAACAAACATACATTGATTGCTCGTGTCTTTTTTAGTCAGGTGTTGAATGATGGATGGGGTAAAGTCTGTTGAAGCCAAGACGCCGCCAGCCACTCAAGTTTATTGGTGGTGGTGGTGTTGGTGCTGGTGAACGTTTGAACCTCACACAACAGAGCCCGAAGCACGCCAGTGTGACAGCCACTAAAACCGTGATCCGACTGTCTCCGGTATAAATCCCACGTTATCGATGAGGGAGAGCTTATTCATCTAATGATACAATTTAGTGGAATCGATTTCTTCTTGTTCGTATTAAACTCTGTACTACCCGGCATAGTGAGTTATCCAGCCGCGTACTTCTTTGTCAGGATAACCTCGAAGAAAAGGAAACCGTCGAGCGATTATGGCTTCTTTCGAAATCGATTTGTAAAACTGGTGATGTGATAAAACTCCTGTCGAATATAAATTGGTTTTTCCCTAAAAACATTTATTCACACTGTTGCAAAATATTGTGAGTAAATTTCTGTCAAAAGAGTTGAACAGTGCGATTGTTCTGTCTAGTTAACACACACACACACATACCACGCACTTCCCCCGTCCGTTTCATTTGACTGTTTTTGTGCATATACTCGTACGAAAACCAACTAAAAGAAGAGCTAGGGGGAAGGGCGGGTGGGTAAATGCTACGAACTTTCCTATACTCACTGAAAACAAGCTAATAATCACTCCCTCCCGGAGGAGTGTTTATTGTGTTCAACGGAAACCGGTCAGGAAAAAGTGCGATCCGAGTTTCATTCTGACTCACCTTTTTACTGGACTCTTTGGAGTTGGCGTGATCCGAAGCCAAATGCGGATTGATGGCCATATTGTTCGGTGTTGACAGGGAGCGTCTTCTCAACGGTTCATTTGGTTGCGTAAGCGGGGATATATGGTTGGTGCCCACTCTACGTTCCGATGGTGCATGGGTCACGGCCCCGTGTCTCTTGACTCGAAACACCGGTCGCGTGGATTCCGTTGACTGACTCATATGGTATTGCACGTCGTGTTACGTACTTACGGCCTGGACACAACTTGTTCCTTCCGAGGGAACGATTATGATCGGTAGATATGAGATATTCACGTGTGGATAAAATTGTCTACGTGAGTGCGTGTGTGTATGTGTGTCTATACTGCTTTCATTGATATACACAAAAAAGACGTGGGTCACATGAATGGGGTCACCGAGGAAGTCCAGTCCTGAGTTCCCGTGACTAAAGTGCTGCCGCCGCAGCGGCTACTGCTGCTCCTTCTGCCCAAATTCGTCAGAGAATGGCTCTGTTTTGAATTAATTCGTTTACGCAGTTCGTATTTTCATTGATCAACAATTTATGTCTGTGTCTGTGTCAGTTTATGTGAGGACGTGTGTGTGTGTGTGTGCACGTCCGTAGGTGTACTCATGGGCGTGTGTCACTGTGCTACTATGGGCTATAGTTTGTTTACATGTTTATCTTTCACAAAGTAAGCACATTCGAGTCTTGAGTAGTGAGCGTGAAGTTGTCGGAAAGGCCGATACGCGACGGATGAATGTAGAGAGGGCGAGAGAGATCCTGACCTATAGTCCGATTGCCTGTCAGTAAGTCTGTGCGCGCATCCATTCACAGTACGGGGATCGACCAATCGGAATAGCTTGAGCGACATTCACGATCAGCTGTGCATACCTTTGACCTTGTATACAGTTTCTTTGAGGACCATAGAAATGGTTTTTCACCAGTAATATGTTCCCCAAAATGGTTGGAGTAGACCTTCTTGAACATTCACATTGCTTACATGTGTGTGTGTTTGTACGTGTGTACACCCATAATACTACTCCTGTGTCTGTCTCACCATTGAGATGGAGCTATTCATTCGCTTGCATACAATGCATTGTATCGACGTGTGTACAAGCACACACACACACACAAGCATCCGCATACACGGATGACCTGCATATTTGCCATGATCTCAAATCAGCTGTTCTCGTATTGGTTATACGTTGCCAGTCGTAACCCGGGCAGCAGAACAAGCACAGTTGACGCACACTAACTGGGACTGGGGGCAATTCCGGACTGGGGGCAAGTGGGTTGCATTGTTTCGCTCCCGTTAGAATGTTTAATTGTTTGTTTATCACGTTTGTATTTACATTCGTGACTACAACCTGCTTACTACTAACCGCTCTCTCCCAGTGAAGCGAGTTAGAATATGATCCAAGAAACGTGGAACGTGACCTTCAAAAGTTGACCTTGCTTTGTGTGGCTAGTTCAATAAACGTTTTAACGTATCACCATGCCTAAATAGGTTGAAAAATCCAAGATTACCTCAGTATTTAAGATAGAGAAGTGCGCAAATCCCGTGTCCTCTAAGTTCCTCACTTAGGTATTTTTTGTGCTGTACATGGAGGCACCTTTTGTTGCCAAATGACGGGAACCTGTTTAGCAGGACAACAATGCGGACGAATAAAACCGATCACGTACGTCTGTAACGCTTGGCAGCAGCTCCAGTATTATTTTATCGTGAGTGCTTGTATCTCATTGAACCTTTTTGGTTCATGGCGTTTTCTTGGCTTTGCCTTGCAGGTTTGTCTTTAATCCAAACTCAGGGAGAAGATATGTCTACCAGTGTTTCCTCACCAACCCATAATCCGCATCCGTAACGCCGTTCCCTGTTGTCGTTCCTCGTCCGCAAAGCCTAAAATTGCGGAAATACAAGCCGAGGGGCATCATGTCGCGCAACCTCCGTTCACTCCGCTGCGCTGCACGATCCCGGAGTACGTTCACATTGCACGTCAATGCGATCCCGTAATTTATTTCGGTCCCAGCTGAAACGAGTTTCAACTGACCACCATCGCGGGTAGTCCGGGCAGGGGGTGGACACAACTTGCCTATTCCACCTCTGGGCAAACTACGGCTGGAAACGAATTGCCATTGAGGTCAGCTGATGAGAGCCTGTTGTTGAACACGCAATAAGGAAGGGCACGTACTGACCTCCAAAAGCCTCAGTATGGTCGCGGGTTGATATCTAGGATTGCGACTGGTCACCCTTTTGTTGCACCTCGTGAAATGCTCGCATACGACCGAGCGTCTCAAATAACCTCTGCTGAGGAAAGCCTTACTCATTGCCCTCTCATGGGGCGGAGGCGCTTTCCCATCAAAGTGAGAAGAAGCCGAA